CAGCTTTAGAAAATTATAGTTTAAGTAATTTATTTTCATTATCCAATTATTTTATTTTTTTTTAATTATTCTATAAAATTTCATCATATTCTTCTATTTATTATTTTAAATTCATTATTTCATTATCTTTTTCAACCATAAGTTCTTAAAATTAATTCATTTAAATTTCTATTAATTTATTTTAATTTATCTTAGAATCAAGACTTGATTATGATTCCACCATAGGATTTTTTTATTTAAATTTATCATTATCTGAATATATATCTTAAGGTCTTTGAGAATTTTACAATTAATTAGAATATTATTTATTAGAGTATTCTAATTATTGTTTTTTATTTTACAATTTATTTACTTTAGCTTCTAATTTAGTTATTACTGCAAATAAATTCTTATTTTTTATATTTAAATCTTTATTTTAAATCTCTTATTAACGTAATTGAGTATTTATTTCAATAAGTTTATTATGATCTTATTCTCTATTTTAGAGACTACTAGCAATAATTTAATATAATTATTCAAAAGATTATGGATATTAGTTTTAATGTTTCTCAACTAATGAATATAATTTATTTAATTCATCCTTCTTTAATAATTGATTAATATTTGTATTATAAAGTTAATGAATAGAAATTTATGCAGCTTAACAAATTTAATTTATTATGTTATGCATATTATTCCATCCCATAATAATCTCTCTAATATCTTTAAGTACTTGCATTTATAATTTTTGTGATGATCGCTAATTTATTAATTTCTTGGCATTAATTGATATAATTGATAGCTCTTAAAGAATTTCAGTCAACAAATCATCCGCCCTATAGGTCAAAGGTTGATCATACATTATTTATTCAGTATTGCGAGTCTTTTTAAGCAACTTGTCCAAAGGTTGTGTTGAAAATTAAAAGTTATCACCACTCATCCTACTCTAAAGTAGATTCGATTTAAGCACTGATATTTCTTTCTCAATTTACTAATGACTATCTTTAAGCATATTAAATCTAAGTGATGAGCCTAATAGCCTATCAGAATCCTAATCTTGATGCTTCGTAGTATATGAATCAATAAGAAAATTTTACGAATTACGAGGGCCATAAATCCCTGGAGATATAATCTATCTCAAAGGTTAGGGTGAACTTATCCCAGGTTAAGGAGAATAAAATGCTGTCTAAGTATTTTATCTGCTTTATTTTTGCATTATTCAAATTATAAATAAATTATAATAACAAATAAATTCACAAACTAGACATTATTAAATTATTTTATTAATGTAATCATCAATTCTCTCAATCATTTTTAATACTATTTAATTAACAATCTATTATATTCATATTTCAATATTAATTTTATTATTAATTTATTAGAATAATAATAAATCCTTAAAAGTTTTCATTTTCTAACCTTTTTCAATTATTTCTTTGAAAATTATATATTCTTTTTTAGTATTAAAGACATATTTAGAAAATAGAAAATAATGTATATTTTTATGTATAATTGCTCATTGTATTTTCTTTCTCTCAGCCAACAATTTTGCATTTCTTATTCTGGAGAAGAATTTAAGGACTTCATCAACTAAAACTACAGGTGCAGATACTCCAATAACCAAAATCCTAATTTTAAATTATATAAAATTACCAATCTTAAATGGATAATGGAACAGTGTTAAAGATGTTTTCAAATAATGGTACATAGCAGATCATGCAATGGAGAGTCATTGATCCACAAATAGCTATAATTAAATAAGGATTTGCAAACACTCCAACTTTCAATAATGATCCATCCTAAAAAAGGTTTAATTAAATAAATATACTTCAGATAAGGCATTCAAGGCATTAAACATTTCAATAACAACAAGGACAGAAAGACTTAAAGTTGAAGCCTTTTATTTACCCCAAGAGAAATATAAGCATGGATCCTTAGAGAAATCATATTTATCAAAATTAGCAATTTTGAATCCTTCCCAATGATGGCATTCAGCCCAATTTCTCAATTAATGGAATGTGACAACTGGATGTCCATCTCCAGCCCATTCATATCCCAAATAATAATACACAAAAACGAATACTGTGGCTAAACCTACATAGGTTCCAATAACGCAATATCTAATGAATACATATTCAGTAATAATTGGTTCATCATGTTTTCTTGGTGGTTTTTACATAACATCAGGATCAGGTGGATTAAATGATAAAGCTGTAGCAGGGAGACCATCAGTTACTAAATTGACCCATAATAATTAGATTGAATTGAATCCATCAGGAATACCTAAGGCTGATGATGTGAAAATTGAGACAACTTCACCAATATTTGATGAAATCATATATCTAATAAATCCTTTCATATTTTAATAGATTGCTCTTCCTTCTTCAACAGCTCTTACAATAGTTGCAAAGTTATCATCTGCTAAAATCATATCTGAGGCTTCTTTTGCTACTTCAGTACCAGAAATACCCATAGCAATACCAATACTAGCTTATTTTAATGCAGGAGCATCATTAACACCATCTCCTGTCATAGCAGCTATTTAATTCAATTAACCAGTTAATAATTTAACTAATTCTCTTTTGTGTGATGGATCGGTTCTTGAGAAAACTAATCCACTTGGTTTTCCAATAACTTATTCAAGTACTTTCTTTTATTTTTCTTCTCCCATTGTTGAAAATTCCAATCCTGTAAATGAATGAGTTGGGAATTAGGATTGATCATGTAATATACCAATTTACATAGCAATTGATTATGCTGTTTCTTTGATATCACCAGTAATCATTATAACTGAGATACCAGCTTCTCTACATTTTTCAATTGATCTCTTTACTTCTGGTCTTGGTGGATCTTATAAGGCAACAACACCAATAATAATTGGTTTATTTTCCAAATCTTTATAATTGTTTGTATCAATCAATTAATTATGAGCTGGATGTTTAGGTCCATCATAATCACTCAATTAACCGCATTCTTCTTAAATACAAATTGCTAATGTTCTTAATCCCTTTTCTGCTAATTTTTTAACAATTTCTAATAATTAATTCTTATCTTAAGCCTTCAATGGAACGACATCACCATTTGAATTTAAAATCATATTTGATTTTTCTAACAAATAATCTGGAGCTCCTTTAATGAATAAAACATTTCCTTTTTCATTTTTGGAACTGGCCAAAACAGACATACTTTTTCTGTCTCTTGTGAATTCTAATGTTGCTCTCTTTGTGAATTCACCAACAATCTTTTCATTATATTATTCTGGAGCTTCTAAAGTTGGTTTACCATTAAAAGATTTATCATATTTTCCAATTTTTTCAACTAAAACTTTCAAAGCAGCTTCAGTAGGTAATCCACTTCTTTAAACTCTTCCTTTATCAGTATATAATTTAGATTCATTGCATAAAGCCATAGATTAGCATAATCTATTAAGATTTCCAGCTAAAATATTTCCTTTAACTAATTTAGCATCCAAACCATCTATCTTTCCTTCTGGGTGATAGGATGTTCCTTCTACAGGGAATACTGTTATTGTTGAAGCATCCAAACCTGATAAAAGTACAAGTTCTTTAACACACATTTCATTGGTTGTCAAAGTACCAGTTTTGTCTGAGCAAATGATTGTTGTGCATCCCAAGGTTTATACTTTTGGTAATTTACGAACAATAGCTTTTTATTTGGCCATTCTTCTAGCTCCTAAAGCTAAACAAGTTGTAATAACAGCTGGTAATCCTTCTGGGATAGCAGCAACTGCCAATGCAACAGCTACTTTGAAATAATATAATGCTCCCATAATAGTTCCTCCATATGCAGGATCAGAGAAATTACCAATGTTCATAACCCAACAAATGATACAAATATATGTGACATATTTAGCTAATTTATCTCCAAATTCATCTAATCTTTTTGACAAAGGATCATCATCTTCTTATTTGTCTTTTGCTGCATCTTAGACTTCCTTTTAAATCTTTCCAATTTCTGTTCTCATACCACTGTTACAAACAATACCAATTGCTGTTCCATTTGATACTAATGTTCCTGAAAATAAGAAATTGATCTTATCTTAGACAGCAGCCTTATCTTTTGCTAAAACAGGATCTGTTGTTTTATTTACAGGATTGACTTCTCCTGTAAGAATTGACTATAATATTATTAAGTTTTGTATACTTAATCTGTTTTCAATGTAATGGTCTTCAAATCCGCCATTCTTAAATCTGCTGGAATTCTATCTCCTTATTTGATTTCTACAACGTCTCCAATAACTAAATCTTTGGCTTCAATTTATCCCCATTTCTCATCTCTTAATACCATGGCATGAGGTGATTACAAATCTTTAAGGGCCTTAAAATAATAACACGTAATAATACTTCGATAGCTCTCTCTGCATCCAAATCTTACCAAATACCTACAGCGGCATTTAATATCAATATAGTGAAGATTACACAAGGCTCTACCCAAGGTGGTACTGCATGTGAATCTTCATGATCTTCAAATTGTGAAATCACAAAAGAAATCACAGCAGCCAACAATAATATTCTTACTAAGTTGTCTTCAAATTGTTCCTTAATCTTTTCCCAAATACTCTCTTTCTCTTCCTTTTCTAATTCATTTGGACCATATTTTGCAAGTCTTGCTTAAGCTTCAACTGTTGTCAAACCCCTAATTATTTCTATTTTATATACTTTTATAAGTTAGTTTGAACAGCAGCCACTACTTTATCTATAGGATACGTATGGAATGGCTATGTCAAATCTATCTCAGCCATTAATAAAAAATAAATAATATATGATAATCAGCTAAATCTTTATTTGTTAAATAATGCATTTTAATTTATAACTATTTCCTCATCATAATCATAGTATGGATGAATGTTAATAATTATTTAAATTAATTAAATTTCAATATTTATGTAATTCATATTTGCAACTAAATTTTTTATTTATTTAGCAGCAGAACAATAATGAATATCTAATATAAATGGTATATTATTTTATAGAATGTAAAATATTTAATGAGAATTAAATTCATTCTTGGATTCCATCCATAAAATCACCTCTTGGACTTGCCAAATCAACTAATCTACTACTTCTTATTATTGAAAGTGGTTCCTTCTAAAAAAATTGAAACATTGCTTTTTATGGTGATTATAATTCAATTAATTAATTACATTTCTTTAATTTTGGTATTTAAATCTAATTTAATTCTTAATCCAAAATTTCAGAATTTATAATATCTTCTTCTAAATTATATTATGACAATATTTCTTCGCATTAAATTTAGAAATTGAGATTGTTCTATTTCATTGTTGATAGAAGTGATGCTTAGAGTTAAGTGCTATACTCACTTATTTAATCAAAAAAAGGATGTTAAAGAGCCTTTCTAGCACTAATTCTAAGTTTTGGATCTTTTTTTAACAATTATTTTAGTAAATTCTCATTAAAATATGATTAAATAAATACTATTGAATCTTCAGTGATATAATTTTGATCAATTGGTAAATTAAAATCAATCTCACATTTTTTATTAGCTCTCATAACTTCATCAAATGTTTTACCATTAAATATACTCTTTCCAGTCAAAAGTTTATATAGTATACAACCACAACTAAAGATATCCACCTTTGTAGTGTATTTATTACCAACATTAGTAGTTAAGATTTCAGGAGCTACATACCCTGGAGTTCCACATTTAGGAAATAAATATCTAGGTTGTTATTATATGATAGAATACTTATCTAAAGTTTCAATTGTAGCTAATCCAAAGTCTACAAGGACTAAAGTATAATAATCATTCCTCTTTGCAAACATCAAATTGTCAGGTTTTAAGTCTCTATGGATAATCTAAAATTATTTAATAGAGAGATTACCTTATGAGAATGCAATAAAGCCACACTTGATAATAATTTTGCAATTATTATTTTAATATTTTATATTGGTAATCGTTTATCAGAGAGTCCCTTATACTTTAGAAATCATTAAATACCTTGGCTCTTTCTATTTCTTCGCTTAAACTTTGTCCTTCCAAATACTCGGTCACTAAGTAATAGGTATGATCTCCTTCATAGATTTCCTTTAAAATAAGAAAGTTGGATGAGTAAGAAGATAAAATTTTTAGGATTGATACTTCCATATTATAGGCTTCCTATAATTTATTTTTAAATGAATATGATTACTAATCCTGAGCCTTTATCAGTTTAATTTAAAAATGATTTCTCAATAGCTTTGATAGCATATACTTTTGAATTAATAACATTTTATGCACTGTATACCTAAATATTTCAAAATTAATTTACTTTTGCTGAACTGCCTTTTCCAATTTGTAATAAGGGTATATAAATATCTCCAATTCCTTCATATGTAACTCTTAAATCTAATAGGTCTTTAAATCTATCATAATATTTCATTTTACCTAAGCAAATCTAACTGGTCAGCATACAAAGTCTTAAATTTGTTTTAGTAAGGAAAAACGAAGGATTGTAAAATCATTCCTTCTTTTTACTTCTTCAAGTCCCAATAAATCTTTGTTGAGAGTTTAAAATATATTTTATATTTAGGTGACTAAGTATCTTTAGACTAAATATTTATCATAATTTTTTTTTACACTGCCCATGATAAAATAATCTTAAAACACAGTGACATAATATTGTTTATCTCGAAAAAAATGTTTACGAATTCCAATAAATTACAATTTAGCATCTTTGTATTCAATATAATCCATATTTGAGTGTATATATTACTATTTAATTTTAACAAAAGAATTATAATAAATAAAAACAAAAATATAATTTTCCTTTACTTTCAATAAAAATATCTTTTTTCAACTCTAAAAGCAGGATTATTTTGATCCAAAGCAGAACTTCTAACTTTCATAGGATACTAAATTTCTTGGTTTTGATTCTTGGATTTATAAGGGGATTCAGTATACAAAGATTTAGCAGTAAACTTAGAATTCGAAAAACGACTAGAATCAGAAACTATGCTAACTCTTGTTGATTCTTGAGCTGTTGAACGACACTTAATAGGAGTTAATTCAAGTTAATTCTAATTTTGTTTACATTTCAACATTTTAATAACCCAATCAGAATTCAACACTTATTATATATTAATTCGCTTTTAATGAGCTAACATTTATTAAAACAACAATTTGCATTCATCAGACAATTTCTCATTATATTTAATTTATTATTTATTGCAAATTTTTTCATATAACTCTTCCTTGTGTTTTGATCTAAATAATAATTCACCATGTAACATATACTGTAAATTATAAATGATCTAAAATTACATATAATAGTATTCCCAAAGACCAAATATCAACACCTTTGTCATGTTTTTATTTAGTGATTACTTCTGGTGGCATATATTCAATAGTACCACAAACACACGGTTTGGCTTTACCACCATTAGGTAAAAATATTGACCAATTGAAATCACATACTTTTACATTGTTATTTTACAATAAAATATTATCAGCTTTTATGTCTCTATGAATTATATCTTTTTCATGCAAATACAAAATAGCTTAAGCTATTTAATAAAAATAATGGAAGGCCTCTTCTTCAGTTAATTTTTATTTTATTTTTATCAATTCATCTAAGGTTCCTTATTCACAATATTCTAAAACTATATAGATATTATCTCTATCCTCAAAATGTTCAATATATTCCACAATATTTTTATGTTTACATCCTTATAAATAATTTAATTCATTCAATATGTGCTAAGTTGCAAAAATTTATTTCACATAGCTTTTTGAAATCTATATATGTTAAATAATTACTATTTTTATTGCAAATTTCTTATTAATCTTATGATTCAATGCTAATTTAACTTTACCATAAGTTCCACTTCCTAGTTCTATCTAAAAAACTTCATATTAATCTTTGAGTAATTTTTTTTAAGGTGCAACAGTTGAAGGTTAAGGAGGCAAGGTATAGAATGGATATTAATACATCTTCAAGGAAAAATAAATATAAATAAATATTAAATTGATGTCTTCGGATCTACATAATATTTTTGTTTATTAATCTTAATCATCTAAAATTCATTAAATAGATATATTTCTACCTAAATTAACATTTCTAATAGCACTTGATATAAAACAATAAGTTCTGATTCTACAATAAAATAATAATTTATATAATACTAACTTTAAATAGTAGTATTAATAAATTTAATTTATGAAAATAATTATCAAAACCTTAAGTGGATAAACTTTTGAACTTGAAGTACAACCAACAGATTCAGTAACTCTGATTTTCAAATTAGGTTTTAAATATCAAAGAAAAAATTGAAAAGGTGAAATAATTTGAAATTGCCTAATAAAAACTTTTAAGAAAAGGAACTCTATTACTTGATGATTAAACTGTTGGTGATTTGGGAATTTAAGAAAAAGACTTTCTTGTTGTTATGGTCAACGTAAAAGTAATCTATTTAAATTTATTTGTTTAGAGAAGTCCTCCTTAACAACAACCTGTTTAATAATAGGTTCAATAGCCACCTTAGCAACCACAACCAGTTTAACCTTAACAACCTGTTGAAGTTTCAAAACCATTAAATAATCCAACTTCAAACAATATGGTTACTGGTTCAGAGTATGATTTAGCCATTCAAAATTTGATATAAATGGGATTTGCTAAAACTGAATGTGAAGCAGCAATGAAGGCTGCCTTTAATAATTAAAATAGAGCTATTGAATATTTATTAAATGTAATGAAATATTAAACAGTTTAAGGGGATTCCAGTTGTAAATTAGCCACCTCCATAATAAGCTTAAAATGTAAACTAAGTAGATTAAAATACATTACAATAATTGAGAGAATAATTTATTTAAAATCCATAAGCAGTTCTTTAATCACTATAATAATTGTAATAAACAAATCCATAATTATATTAAGTATACAAAATATTTAAGTTTAAATTAGTAAATACAATAAAATCCAGAGACGGTAATCTAATTATTAATGGGAGCTGGTTAAGATGGAGGAGATGAAATTGAGACAGAAATAACTTAAGAAGAAGAATAACAACTCAATTAATTAATGATGATGGGATTTACAAAAGAAGATGCATTAGAAGGTTTTTTGGCTTGTGACAAAAATGTTGAGACAGCAGCATCTTATTTATTTGAAAAACAAGCAAGAGGGGATTTATTAAGTAAAAAATTATAATTTATTTTAGGTTAACATTATGAAAGAGAGGAAAACAATCCTGAAAATTATAATGATGAAGGAAATGAAGGTGAGGAAGATGACTAAGATGATGATGATTAATATTATTGAATGTATTTTTATTAAATTTTAATTGACTTTTTACATTAAATTATTTTACTATATAAAGATATTATCATATAATTTGTATAAATTTCATTATCTACAATCACAATTTAAATGAAGAAATTTATTGTTATCCAAATTTTACATTAACAATTTGTTATATATTGAATTAGATTTTTTTTCTAATCATTTATAAATTAGATGAATTATTTATGATTTATAATTTAAATAATTACTAGCAATATTATGAAATTGTTTTTAATTATAATATTATAGAAATAATGTCTAAATAAAATTATTTTTAAAACTTTAAAGTTTAATTATTATTAATTATTTAAGATATTAAATTTGATTGAAACTCAATCATAGTCATAAGATTACATAAATATCTTCAAATTTTGTATTATAATAATAATATAAATTATATAAGAATTATATTCTAATTAATATTGAAGGAAATAGAAATCATTTCAAAATGATATCATAATTGTCATTAATACTCTTGAAAAACCAAGATTCTTAAAAATCAACAATATTCTATTTTTTAGCTGCTTTTAATGTACGAACAAGTGCCCCACGAATATTGATGAAGAAAACTTCATAATATTATACAATTTTTTCGTCATTGCATAATACTCCAAATTTAACGACGTATTTTCCTTCTGCATTCTTTGTTCCTAAACGTTATATATCTCTCTTTATCTCTTCAATTTCTGATTAAATTGGTTCATCCATTTAAATAATTATTTATTTATATTTCTAATTTTAAAGAAATTTGAATATAAGAAAGAGCTAAAGAAAATATAAATAAAAATGGTAATTATAATTCTCAATTAGTTGATTTAATTATTAATGTTGGTGTATATATCTTCCAATAAAATGTAATTGCCAAAAGAGCTCCAATCCATGGTCCCATAACAAACATTAATAAATTAATCATTTAGTTCCATCTTCCATAATATATTCCATAAAATAATTATAATCTAAATTAATTCAAAAGGTTTACCCAAATGCTGCTGCAGGATTAAATAAACTATTGCCCATAGTTGCAGTATATCTATAATATTTTTATCAAATTATTACTATCTTGCTACAAAATATATAATACTAATAAATGCTGAAGATTATATTTAAGTAGAAGTAATTTTAGTATTTTCTGCTGTTTAAATTTATATGAATGTAAAAAATATAACAGAACCAGCAATTTCAGACATTAATGTTCCTAAAACTTAATGTGTAGGCAGTCTATAATTAAATAAATAGATGTACGATTCATAATAAGGTAAATTATTACTGTTAGCAAATAAAGGCATGAAAAACATTCCAGCAATTAGACTTGCTAGAATTTGAGATCCAATAAAATACATAGTCTTTTTATTATTGATAGCTCCATCTATAAATCCTATTAATGTGCATATTGGATTGAAATATCCTCCACTTAAACGACCAAATAATGTTAAACTAATGAAATAGACAAGAGATAATCCAAAATTATTTCTATATAAATTATATCATTTACTAAGTAGCTAATGCTCCATAAATAACTAATAAAGTGCCGATTGTTTCAAATACAACAATGTTATAGATTTAGGCAGCCTCTTTTTCTTTTGAATCTTCTGGATTTACTTAGAATTAATTTACTGTAGGTTCCATATTATATAATTAATTCAATATAATCAATTTAATTTATTTCTAATTTGCATCATTTATTTTTATGACTAAGACATCATTCCTTTGGTTAACTATGATATCAATTGCTTATTATATATATATATATATACTTATTATTCTTAATTTATTCTTTTATTTTCAATACATTCAGCTAACATTAATTTAATGCATCTCCATATTTATTTAAGATTAGGTAGTTGATCTGCAGAAAAATAATCAGGAGGTGAACATGAAATTACTAAATCTTTTAAACACGAAATAAATTTATTTTGCTCTTTTAGTTTCTATTTCTATTCATTTATTTAGATCAAACAAAGTGAATGTAATTTTGGTTCAAATATATTTTCTTTATTAATTAATCCAATCTCATTAAAAACTTATGACACAAATATTTATAATCTTTGTATATTTGCATAATTTCCAATCATCTTTTCCAATACTTCAACTTAATGTTATAACTTTTATATTTATTCTTCCTATTTCTTAATTAATTCATTTTAATCATTATTCAGAGATACTTCATGCACTGAAGAGTAATTCATATTCTAAAATTGCAACATATCTATATCTTCTGATTTAGAACTCTTGTGTTATCGAAATGGTTAAAGACGAGGAGATTATAATGTTTTAAAAGAGTTATAATTATCGTATGTTTTACATCTCATTTTGAATTATTGAATTTAAAACTATTTGTTAATATTATTATTTTAACAATTTAAATCATCATAAAAAAAACCAAAATCAATTTATAAAATTCACTCTATCCAGTATAATGTTGCTCTAATAATCATAATCTAAGTTTACATTCTTATTTGTATTAATTTATTTTTTTTTATTAAATAATAATGTCACGCCTAATTGTAAAGAATATCCCAAATTTAATAACAGAATCTCAATTAAAGACAATCTTTGAAAAAAAAGTGAAGTTTCTGATGTTAAAGTTATTTTTAAAGGAAATAAGAATAGAAGGTTCTGTTTTATTGGGTATAAAAATGAATCAGATGCAATCAAAGTAATAGAACATATTGATAAAACATATATAATGATGTCTAAAATATCAGTTGATTTTGCTAAAACTATTGATGATCTTTAATTACCTAGAGCTTGGTTAAGTCATACTCAAGGATCATCAGCATTCAAAAAAATTCATAAAAGTTAAGAATTAGAAATTATAAAAAGGGTGAAAAAGAATAAAGAAGATTAAGAAGAAAAAGAAATACCTAAAAATATGACAAATCAAAGAAATTTTAAGAGTTCTTAGAATTAATGAAAACTAATAAGAAAACCAATTCAGAGATATCTTGGAATGATAATGTAAATAAAGAAGTAGATGAAATATTTGAAAAGATCGAAAAAGAGAAACCAAAAATAGGTCAATAACCTAAATCTAATACACTAACAAATGTAATATATGTTACTAATATTCCATATACGAGTACAGATTAGGAGTTAAGAATTGCATTTAAAAATATGGAACTGTCTCTAGTTTGTAAATACCAAAATAAAGAGGAGGATCACTTTCTGGTTTTTGTTTTTTTGAGTATCAATTTCCAGAGGAAGCAGTTAGGGCATTTAATGAATTAGATAACAAAATTGTTTTGGGAAGGAAGAATCTTTCATTTTAGACCTTAATTTAAGGATGATAAAGAAGAACAATTAAAATAAGAATAATAATTGAAATAAGAGAAAATGATTGGAGAAGAAAAATCATCATATAAAAAGTTTAAAAAATAATAGATGCTTGAGAGACTTATTGATACTACATCATGGAATACATTATTCTTAAATCCAAATACTATTATTGAAGGAATTTGTAAGAAATATTCTTTGGATAAAAAGAAAATCTTATCTGAAGAAAATGATGATATGGCTGTTAAAATGGCTCAAATGGAAACTCAAGTAATAAAAGAAACTAAAGTTTGGCTTAAAATTGTTGGTTTGAATATTGATTTTTTAATAGTAAAAAAGAATTAATGTGAAAGATCAAATATTATTATTTTTGTTAAGAATATTCAATTCAGAGTTTATGAAACAGATTTAAATGAACTTTTTCAAGATATGGTTAAGTAAACAAAGTATTTCTTGCTCCAAACAGATCAATTAGAATTGTTACTATGTAAGATGATAAGTAGGCTATAAATGCTTTTACTAATCTATAAAATTATAAATTTACAGGATCAATTTTATATTTAGAATGGTTTTCAACAACTTTAATGGGAGAAATGAATAAAAATAATGATATAAATCCATAAATTGAAGAATAAGAAAATTAATTAACTAGAATTCTTTATGTCAAGAATCTTACTTTTAGTAAAAATGAAAAAACTTTACTTAAATTTATATCTTAAAAAGTTAATGATGTAAAAAAATGAGACAATAATTAATAAAGAAGGAGTTTTTCAGGGTTATGGATTTATTGAATTTGATAAACCAGAATCTGCCCAAAAAGCATTGCGTATAAATAATTTGATTTTAGATGATCATTTATTACAACTCAGTTAAAGTAAACAAAAACCAAAATAATGTGTGAATAAATTATATTCTAATAGATTTAAATAAAAGAAAATAAAAATCGCAAATAGAACCAACAAACAAACTTTTAATCAAAAATTTACCCTTTGAAGCAAATGCCTAAGAACTAAGAAGATTGCTCAAATAATATGGAGAACTTAAAAAATTAAGACTTCCTAAAAAACTTTATGGAAGCATTAGAGGATTTGCATTTGCTGAATTTCTCAATAACGAAGAAGCTTAGAATGCAGCTGAATCTTTATAAAATATAAACTTCTAGGGAAGAAGATTAGTTATTGAATATTCAAAAGAAGAGTGATATTATTTTCTTGTATATGATTTCTATATTAAAAAAAATAGATTTAAAAATGACTAATTTTTAAAATATTCACATATCATAGCCATCTACTTTTTCCTTCTCAGCTGTAATTTAGATCCATCCTTTTCCTTTAATTTAAAGACCGATTATATATTTATCAGATTTTGTTTATATTTATTTATCATAATAAAGATAGTAATAATTTTGCATTTTAGTCTTAATTGGTAACATATAAAATCCATTTTTATCGTGATATAAAGTTGCTTTAATTAATGGAAAATTAGGAGACATTGATATATGCGATTTATTCAAAAAAAATGTAGAAGTTTTACCTTCAGATAAAATTCCATCTGACATATCTTTGATAGATTAGTAGAATCCTTTTTAGAAAACTTAATTTATTTCTTTATGCAAAAAACTAATATATCCATAGCCAGGTATATTAATAAAATTAGTTTTATTTTGATTGTCTTCTTATAATACTGTTGAAAAATGTTTCAAATTCTAATTTTTAGTATTAGTTTCCAACACAATTAATGTCTGATTAGGAAAAAACACTAATTTCATACCTTTACATAAATATATTCTATTTTGATTTTCAGTAGTAATAACATAAGGATGATTTTCAGAAAAAAAAGTTGTAATTTAAGTAGATTTTGAATATTCTTTGATAAATGCTTAAACATCAGTTGCATTTTTTTTAAGGTATTTCTCTTAAATTTAATCTAATTTCTACACTGCTTTCTCCTTTATCTTCATCAATAAGTCTTTTTTTAAAACTGCTAATTCAAAAATTTCATCACGAAATCCTTGCTTTAAAATTAAATTCATATTAGATTTAATCGGAATCATTTTTGGATGATATAACTTTATAGTAGTGTTAAAAGTAATTAAATCTAAATTTATCACTAATTTTGATTTAGTATAAGCACTTAAAGTTATGAATTAGAAACTTTCAAAAAAATGATTAACATCAGAATGAAGTGTTAAGATTAATTGTCGAATTGCCTATTATGCATTTTGAATATCACTATTTTACATTTTAAAAAAAACCTAAATTCTAGATTATGCTTTGGTTAATTCAATAAGTGATGTCAAATCAGTGGATAATTATTCTAATCTTTCTTATAACATTATGTTCTTTTCTTAAAATTAGAATTCTTGGTATTATTATTTATATTAAAAGATTACATTAATCATATCGATTAGATCTTTTAAGAGCACAGGATTTATAGATGAATTTTATAGTTTATTCAAAATTTCATCCTTCAAAGAAATGTCATTTTAATTCATTTTATAATTATTAATTAACTAATTTTGAAGGAATGTTATTCAAGTTTCACATCAAATTATTATCTTAACATAAATTTCATTTTTGTGAATTATATAAAGAGGAGATAGAAAAAATAAAAAGAATAAGAAAAAATTTATTATATATTTTAAGAATTTCATAATTATTCAATTATTTATTATCATGATCTTCTTGATTATCCTTCTTTATTACAAAATAGATAAATCAAAGTCAAAATCCAAATGAATATTATAAAATAGGTTACAATCAAATAACTCAGAATAAACATTCTTAAGTGAATGCATTCTTCATGTTGTAAGTAGGCATACTAATATTAAGTTCAATATGAATTACTGTCAAACCAATCAAAATTAAAGTGTTAAAGAACAATTCCACATAATCAACAATATCAAATAATTTTTCTTTCCAAAATCCATTAGTTTTGTATTGAATTGGTAACTCAATAATTCTTTATATAAAAATACAGTTCTTACAATTTATATCCAGCCACAACAAACAAAAAAAGTTCAGCATATAATGACCAAGTATCGATACAATCGCATGATTAATTATCTCTTTTCTTAATAAATCATAAATTACTATAATGGCGAAAGAGTAAAAAAAGAAGTCCCCAACCTAAATTGTATATAATTGAAAATAAAGTAAAAGATATGGTTCGACCATTTAGTTCAGAGTTACTCTTTGACGTTGGAATATCAAATATTTCATCTTCTTCGTGATGTTAATTCATAAACAAAATTAATATATATTATTATATCTCAATAAAACATGATGTCGAATATTAATACATCTTGTTATTCTTTTATTAATATAGATTATTGAGCAGTTTTAGATGCCTAAAATAATTACAGTAATGATTTTTCAATAATCATTCTAGTCTGCTCTATGGTGACTTCATTTCATCTTTTGTATGCTTGCATATAAATTATGAAAATATAAATCATGATTTCATTTAAGAAATTGATAAACCTACCTCTATTTTAACTTATTTCATCAAATATCAATAGAAATTATAATGTGTCTGTATACTCTTATTCAATCGTTACTATAATATCTCTTTATTTTGTTAATGATGATTTATTTCCTATATTACTAGGGTCTTTTGTATTAATCAAATACTTAAATTTCCAATTCTGCTATTTCTATCTCAAGGTCATATTTCAATTCTATTGTAATTAAGCTTTTTAATCAATATACTGGAAAACTATACTTTCTAGCATCCAAATTATCAATTGAGCCCGCTCTCTTTTAGTACTCAATACGCAGCTAGCCTTCCAAATACATGATTTAATAAGAAACTTCAGTGTCTATTAAATCGCCTTTGATTTCATTATGGCTTATGGAAAAATCTCTTAATGTATTAAAAATACTTTTCCCATCTAATGTTCGTGATATATATGCATACAAAGAATTCAAAATTTATTAATGAATTTGTATTTCTAAGTGATTCACTTAAAGAAATAGTATAGTAAATTTTCGAATATTTATTTTGTGTTATATCCTTTGAGATCATAATTTTTTATTCTTCAAAAATAAAAACTAGATTATTTAGAGGAAAATTCTAGATTACTTTTTCGAATCCTTAAATAGTACAAGTCAAGGAAAATATTAGATTCATAAACCTGCTGAGAAACAAAACAGTAAAATCTATAACATAGTCAAAAATTCTAATATTCAGCACCTTTTAAAAAATAATTATATTTTCTTTTTCCATAAAGAAAGTCCTTTAATAGAATTAATGTCTATTATTCATCTGCAACTAAAATATTTTGTTTTTACTGAATACCAATATTTAAATCAAGTAATAGCAGAACTATGATCTCAAATTTTTAAATATTATTAAGCCTAAATTTAATCATCTTTATTAATAATCTAACTATATGAAATCAGTATATATTTTTGTTTAGAAGTAATATTTGATAATATTTGTTAATGTCCTCGTGAATATCTGTTTTGATTAGTTGTTTAGCATTTTGTCAGTTTTTCTATCTAAATAATATTTATTTATTTATTTATTACTTTTTCCTATAAATTTTTTTTCATTTATTTTTATAAATATTTAACTCCATATGGACACACATAAATATGTTAAAGCAGGTTTATTATTAAAATGTATTTTAGGTGAAATTTTTGTAAAGCATCACAAATTTGGTGTTGAGAAAATAAGATTGATATATATTTTAGATGACATTCTTTATTGGACGAAACCTGAAGATCTTAACAAATAGAAGCCAAAAGGAAAAATTAAATTAGAAGTTTGAGTTAGTAAATTAATTTAAGGATATATTGTAAATAGAAAATGGGTTGAAAAAGGCCAAGAAATTAAAAGACTTAGAGAGAGCATCTAATTGTTTTACTATAATTACAAAAGAACGAACGCTTGAACTTGAAGCCTCAAATGTTCAAATAAAGAATTTATGGACAAATATCATAAATAATATTTTAAAAAAATAATAGACTCCTAATTAGTGAAAAAAATTATTTTATTTATTACAATTATTTTAAAAAATCTTTTGGATTTTTAATAGGAAATTCTAGGTTAAGGATAATTTAGAACATAAATACAATTACTACTAAAGATTATAATTAAGATTTTTATAGTAAAGAAAGCTAATCCAATTAAATATGAATTGAGAGAAATCTGAAATGAAATAAATTTTTTTGATTTACTTATGATTATTCTTACTTAATTTAAGTTTGTAATTTATAATAATATTTCATTTTGAATTATTAGAATTATAAATAACATTCAATGCAATAAATTATATCAAATAAAATATAAGGAAGACCCCTTAGAAGAGATTTAGTTATAAATAATAATTAAGTTGATAAAATACTTCAAAGTCCAGTGCTTAAAAATTCAATTAAATTGAATTTAGAAAATGTTCAAAGATCAACATCAGAATAGTTTGCTACACCTTTAAACAATAATAAATAATAGAATAAAAATGGTTCAAATCTCTCTCATTTTAGTAAGGATGGATTATCATTTGGATTAACAGAGAGAGAAATGAATTTATGCTCAAACGAAATATTAGCAATGCAGTCTCATCGCAAGAATTTATTGGGGGCAGCTTTATCAGTTCGAACATCCTTATAAAACTAGATTTAATCTTCCAAATTAATTGAATTGAGTAATTTAGAATATGAAAGTCCAAAAATAAGGAAGGATTTTAAATTCAAAGAAAAAGAGTATTAAACAAATTAAGAAATTTAGTAGAAAGTTGAAGAAATGAAAGTTAATTATATTAAATCAAGTGTTACTCTTAATTAATAACTTAATGATAATACAAGATTATTGTAAAAAATTGATGAGTTAAAGAAATAACAATAGAATTTGTCTCTTAATAATTAGTTTTTAAACAAAGACTAGAATAAAAGATAAAATAAAAAAGTAGCAATAAACATGAAGATAAATAATAATAAATAACTAATAGGGTTAAAGTAATAGGCTCTTATTGATTTAATAACTAAATAATAGTTAATTATATAAGATTTATAAAAAAAATTATAGTATGAAAAAACTGAAAAATAGTGTTTGAAATTGCTTTGTTAATCACCAAAATCAGAACTATAATAAATAGATCTAAATTAGTTAGATATTAGAAAAAGCCGGACTAATTTTGATTCTTTTAATTGAATAATCTCAGTTTGATTTCAATTTATTTTATTTATATTAATATAAAATGTAAATAACAATTCAATTATGATCATTAATAAAAAAAAAGTTAGATTTACTAAGATTTAAGTCTGAATTTTGAATTTTGTGATAAAATAAAAAATTAGAAAATTCAATAAAATTAAATTACTATAATTTATTAAATTAAGATGGATTAGAAGGTGATTTATTTAATGAATCAACTTATCTAACCTCTTTCTAAAACATAAAATTAATATTAAGTCTATTAATTATAGACAGATCAAATAATTGAATTTATTTGGAGAAAATTGCATATTAAAATATTGATTGGTAAATACAAATGGCAATTAAATAGTTTCTGATTTTCAAATTATTTGAATTTAGTAATAAAATTACATAAACAAGTATTTAGATACACTAACCATAATCATATTAGGCAATAAAAAATCCCCTTTTGAAGTTAATTATTTACCTTTAAAAATAGCGTTTGCTTAAGATCTTTAAAGAAGACATGACTGGTTTTGTATTTTAATATACTGTAAATTTTGCAACAATTATTTGTAGATTTCACTTCTATTAGGAAAAAACATGTTTTTTTCTAAAAAAAAAACAATATTTATAAAATAGACAGTCTTTTGATTATTAGATATTAGATTATAATTTTTATAAATAAAAATATGTATAATTAATTTATTGATGAGGAAGGACAAGAAAGATAAGTCTAATATTTAGTTGAATTAGGTATTAAATTATATAAGAAAGGATTTCCTGAGAGAAAAGCAAGAAGAGGAGTAGAATAATTTGGTTATACAATTACATTAGAAGATTTAATTAACAGAATCTTGGACATGAGTGATGATAATTCAAAAAAATCAAATGGAAACAAAATCAGTCTTATACAATTTTCTGATTCAAGCAGTGAGAAAAACTCTCCTTTTCACTAACCCATATAACAATCATAATCTTAAAAATAATATTAGGGAAAATAGAACCAATAGCCAGAAAAATAGCTCAGTTAGCAATTTCAATAGTATTAACAAACTTAATAGTAATAACAACATTAATAATAATAATAATAGAATCAATTCTAAGCATAGGTATAATAATAGTCATAACAATGTTCTTATTAAAATATTGTTGATTTATAAAAGCCTTTTGAACATGATGAATTTGCATAATGTTAGGTTTGTTATACTTAACCAATATAATGGCTTCATTTTGAATGTAAACATCAATTTTGCTAACCATGTGTGATTAAGAATATAAAAGCATCAAGAATAAGAAAGATAGATCAAGTTACTTGTTTACAAGAAGATTGCCATGCTAAATTAATTAAAGAAGAGAGCCATCTTGTTAGTAATGAGTTGCTGCCGTAAATTGATGTATTCTAAATAATCATTTAGATTGAACCATATAATGAACCAATTTGCACAAAATGTAAATTACCTTAAGTAGCTCATAAATTTAAATTGTTTTCAAATGCTTGTGATAATGCGGAATTTACAATTTTAAGTGCCTGTGTAAAACATGATGAAGAAGGCAATCAATTATAAAGATGTCCTTAATGTGGCATATGGGTATAAAAATCTAAAGGATGTAACTCTGTCTTATGTTCGTACATTTTTTATTTTATATAAAAGATTAGCTATTGTAAATTTAATTGGTGTTGGTTATGTAGAAGATAATGTGATAGCAATCATTATGTGTTTTTTAATCCAGTTGGATGTCCAGGTTTAGGTGCTGAAGAATTTACAATTGAATAATATCCATGGCACAAAATATGTTGGATTAGAGTAAAGGTGATCCTTATCTATATCCTTTTGATTATGCTTTGCATAATAGTCTATCCTTTTTTTGTTGCTTAGGTGGTTATAAGAAGGATGAAAATTAATACATAAGTAAATATGTGTTATCGCTTATTAATCTATACTGGCATAGGAATTTTGTTTTTGTTACTCTCATGTCTAGCTGTTTTTCCAGGGATTATTATTTTTATAGTTTCATAATAAGCAAGACTCTATGTTTTTGGTAGTTGATTGATTTTTATTTATTTATTTTTAAACCATTTAAATAGCAAATAAAATAGAGATCTAATTATCTTTTGGATACGATAATGTGATTTCAAATTTTATCAAAATAGATGAATGCATAATCAGTTAGATATTTATATATTTTAATCACTTATATTTATTATTAAAAAATTGATGTGGTTAGAAAATAATGAAGTAGACATTCCTAAAGACTATGCTAAACTAAAATAATAAAATATTAAGTTAAGAAATGAATTGAAGCAGATCAATGAATTTTTATCCAAATAAATAGAGAAAAAATAAGATCAATAAAATAGTCATCGACAATAATATAATATTAATACAGAATTAAGAGAAGGTGAATTATAGTTTTATCTTAGACACTCTTAAAGCAGAATTACAGAATGCTTAAAAATAAATCAAGATTCAATTAAAATAAATATAAATTCTATAAAATAGACAGGAAATGCTTTCCTTAGATAAGTATGGATAAATAATTATCATTAGTATTGTTTAATTGCAATCATAAGTTAAGAAATTAATGGACAAAATAAAAGAACTTGAATAAGAAAAAAAGACTTTGGTTAACATAAATGGAAAATAAGAGAAAAAGTTAGTTGAACTTTCTTAAGATGATTTTATCAAAAGCAGAATTGAATAATTGGAACAGGAAAATATAGTTTTAAAATAAAAAGTAATTGCACAGAGTAAAACTGAAAGATCTTAATCTGTGTAAATCACAAAAATTGAACCTATTATAAAACCCATTTAATTAACCTAAAAATAATAAGAACTAATGAAAGAGAAGGATATTTTTATTGTATAATTTCCTAGTATTTTTCATAGTCATAATTACAAACAAAATTATAGGAATAGGAAAAACATATTAAGATTTTGAATAATCTAAAAACTTAATATGACAAACAAATTAATGGTATGACTCATAGAATTAAGTAACTTGAAACACAATTAATGATATTAACGTAATAGTTATCAGAAAAAGTAATTGAAATTTTTTATTCCATAGAATTCTGAATTAAACAGAAAAAATCATTTACTTCCAAATTTAAGTGTCAGAAATCAAAGGTATCACTAATAAAAAGTTAACTTGAGTGTTGATAATTGTTCACCTGATTAATCTAAAAACCATCTTTAATTAAATTATTAACAATATACATAGGCAGCCAATCAATTATCACTGAAAAGTCAATAATCCTAAAAACTCTCTTCATAAACTTAGAGAAGTTAAAAAGTAGTAAATACCGAATCAACTAACCAAGATTTAAAAATTATAAGAATTGAAAAGGTAGGGCAGCTAAATTAATCAGAATTTTATTTTGATATTCCTTAATATTGTAGATTGCATAATCTAA